TTTTTTTTTTTTTTCTCCTTTAGAGTAGCTTTTTGGGGCAGTCTCAGACATTGGCAGACAGAAGCACACGAGGTACGTTTTACACACCACAGCAGTCACTGACACTAACATGACCACAGTTAAAGTCTCAGGTCCATTGAGTACCCGGCTACTGACAAACTGCCAAAGACCACTCCTCATGTGAGCTTCCCGTGCAGGAGCAGAGGGGTCAGGCCCCGAGTTGGGGAACACAGCCTTTGCCAGGCCCCTGTGCTTCCTGCACACAGGGCTCCTGACGTGGGTTATTTACTCATGTTCTAAGCAACTTTGTTTATTTTTAAAAACACATTCTTTTTTTTTAAAACATCTGTTTTTTAGTTGCATGTGGACACGATACCTTTATTTTATTTTTGTGTGGTGCTGAGGATGGAACCCAGGGCCTCACATGCACTAGGCAAACGCTCTGCCAGTGAGCCACACCCAGCCCCTCTAAGCCACTCGAGACCTGCGCCACCACCCAGGAGGGCCGGCTCACCTTCACTTCAGCATCCGTGGGCCTGCCGTCTATTTTAGCAAATCCCTCAAAAATAGTTTTATAGAGGATGTTCCTGCGCGTGCTGCTGTCATCCGGAGGAAGGTACTCCAGGGTGAGAGCCTGGTGCTGCCTGTACATGTCCAGAATGATTCTGACTGCTGTTTCTCGGACCTCATACACTCTGTGCTCCAGGGCACTCACTGCAAACTGGAAACAAAGACGGAAGGTTTCTCGTTACTGGTTCTCACAAAGTTAATTTGTTCCAGCATAAAAAGCAATACAGGTTTGTTATAAAAAATGTGAAAATTTTTATTTTTGTTTTTCATTGTTGTTATAAAATTTTGAAAAATAAAGAAAAAACAGACACAACCCCAAACATCAAGATGCAGAGACCCTCCTGATGGTTGATCTTGCAGACGCAGTTGAACCCATGATTGATCTGTATGCTTTTCCCACCTGAATGAGTTAACAGGCATCTTCAGGTTATAGCCTTCCATAAACAACTCCTTCTGACTCTTCTCCTTTTTTTTTTTTTTTGATGGCACCCAGGGCCCTCTATCATTGAGCTATGTCCCCAGCCCTTCTGTTTTGAGACAGGACCTTGCTGAGTTGCCCAGGCTGGCCTTGAACCTGCCATCCTCCTGCCTGCCTCCACCTCCCAAGCAGCTGGGACTACACATGGAGACCTCTGTGCCCAGCACCACAGCCTCATAGTAAGTATTATAAAATATTCCAAATGTGTATAAGAGGAAAGAAAACCTCATGGCTTCCCCATCTGAATTTAACAAATGCTTTAATTCCGCTGCCTATTTTGGACCTTTCTGTTTTTAAGAAGTGCAATGCTGTGGCTGCTGTGCAGTCCTTCTGGGTGTCTCCCAGGCCCACGGGCTTCTCCTTGGAGGCTCTGCTCTCCTGAACTCGTGTGTGTGTTGCCCAAGCGCACAGGCTGAATGTGACCTGTGTCCCTGGGTCTTTTGCTGTAATGTCATAAACAGCACACGTGGGTGGGGTTGTGGGTCAGCGGTAGAACACTTGCCTGGCATGTGTGAGGCACTGGGTTTGATTCTCAGCATCACAAATAAGTAAATAAGTAAATAATAAGGTCCATCAACAATGAAGAATAAATATATAAACAAACAGCACACATGCTGATTCCAAACCCCTCCTTTTCCCACCAGGTCTGTGCACGCCCCCTCAGCTGTCTCTTCTACTCCTTCCGCCTCCTCTGTCCTCTGTGGTGGGGCACCAGTGACATTCCAATGCCTCTTTGATACCGCTGTGGTGGGGCACCAGTGACATTGCGACACCTCTGTGGTGTGTCAGTGAACACAGACCACCCTTCCCCTGTCCCAGGCAGTGGTCCCTGGTGCCTGGGCCTCTGGTCACTGGGCTCCCTCACTTCCATGGGCTTGGCTCGAGGCACACACTGTTGAGCTCCGCCCCAGATCTCGTCATCACTGTCACCCCATTCAAGAAGGACTGGTCTAAGGGCACTGAACTCTGGTCACCATCTGCTGCCTGCCCAGATCCTCTTCCGCCCCCTCCACCCATCAGAGCCTCAGTCCAGCCTGTCCACCTGCCTCTGTGCTTGCCGTCCTCCCGTCCTCAGCCTTGGCTGCCCTGACTGCAGCTGGCAGCATACAGTCCCCGGTGCAGTCACTCCCGAATTCCCAGACATCCACGCAGCCCAGTCCTCCTTCCTTTGCCACACCAGGTGGTGCCAACGGTGACAGCAGGTGCCACGATCACATTGCTGGTTCAGACTTGAGGCCACACGTCAGGGGTGCCCCAGGTGCTACTCAGACTTCCACGTGATCGTTTCAGGCTCGCTCTGAACCTCCCTGAGCTCCGAGGGGCAAGGTGTGGTCTGCTCCTGAGGTTGGCCCCTCTGTGCACAGCCTGATGCCTGTCCACTCCCAGGCTCCACCCTGTCGCTGGCCCACTTCATCTCCTATTTAACCTCTCCTCTTGGTTTTCCCCACCTGGACCACGGCACAACACCAGGCCAGCTGGCTTTGCCCTGTGCCCAGCTTCACCACGCTCTTCTCCGGGGTTGGCCATCTCAGTGGAAACTCTCCACAGATGTGCTCTGGTCATTTTCTTCTGCTTGGTGGCAATGGAGGTGGCATCATTCTTGAAGGACACTGAATCCTTGAGTGACTGTATGGAGCAGAGCTCCTCTGTCCTTGCAAACTGCATTAGCTTGCTCTGGGCTGTTGGACTATGGGCGTCTGCGCTGTGCAGAGCTCCCTCCAGCCAGGCTGAAGCCGACTGCAGTGGGGTACTGCTGTGGGAGGAGAGGGGGCGACACACCTTGCAGGGCAAAATGGTTGCTTACTGACTGCGACTCAAGGCAGATGCAGGCCTGCTGAGCTGGCAGCACGGGGAGAAAAGGATGGGAGTAATTAGAGCACTGGTGTGTGTGGGCTACTACCAGCGGCCTCTGACAAGGCAAGAGAAAGAGCTGAGCTCAGCACAGGACGGCCAGCTTGAACAAAAAGGGCCCACGTGAGGACTGGGCTGCTGGATCGTGTCGTCCTCTGCAGTGTTCACAGGAGGTCTCAGTGTGGAAAGGAGCCCACAGGCCCAGGTAGAGGCAAAGACCAGTGTCCATTGACCTTTCAGACTGCTTCCCACCATGAACCAGCATCGCCCACATCACACACCCGGAATGGGGGGATCAGTGCATACAGACGGGGTGCCCTCATGCGCTGGCATGAAGTCAGGCTCGCATTCACTCATGGAACACTGATGGGACTCTCCACGCCCAAAAGGTCACAGTGGCTAGCACATGGCATGAGGTGGCTCACCTTCATCACACTGTCCACTGTGAAGCCCGTGCTCCCGGTGCCCAGGTCCCTCAGCAGCCGGGCCAGGAGGTCCATCTGACTCATGGCCAGATGAGCCGAACAGTTGACTTTTAAAGGCTGCACCAAGTAGGATGGGATGATCTGGAGAGGCTTCACCTCCTTAAACAAGGCCATTTCCTGTGGAGAGCAACAGGAAAGCACGAGGGATGATTCAGCACCACCTGGCAAGACTTCCCACTAAACTTGGAAGGAACAGAGAGGATAACAGGTTGCAGAATCGTCATGGGCGTGCAAGCTCACACTTGTGTGAGAGGCATAACAGGGAAGAACACACCACACAGAGGCTGGTGAGCGCCTGTAGGAATAGCCCAGAACGTGAAGGTTTCGGTTCTTGGTGCTCCTCAACCAAGAAAAGGTTCTCTGATTTCTAAAATCCTAAAAAAAAATTATAGTTTTGTAGCTGAGGCCATTATTTTAGTATTTCATGTCAACCAAGAGAGTAACAATGTACAATTCTCGTTAATATGATTAAAATGAAAAAACAAGCAGGATTACATATTTATTAAGTGTCTAAACAAACAGGTTTTTCTATGGCCAGAATGTCTGTGATTTAATTAGCCAGCAACAGAGGAATGGGTAATGAAGTGCTGAAGCAGGTGAGCTGGGGGAGCAGATCTGTTTTGTTAAGTCTCAGGTCCTGTCACCTGGAATCCCCTCTCCTCTTGGCAGCACGATTCCTGTGCACTTGGGCCCTGGATGGCTGCACAAGTAGGAAAAATAGAAGAATAAGTGCTTTCTTCACCAAGTGTGGACAGCAAACTCCTCAAACAGCACACAGATGCCACAGAGGTGAGGAGGTCCCCAGTTGCAGGGGCCTGTGGATGGGCAGTTGCACCCAATACCCACGGCAGGGCGCCCTGGCAGGCTCGGCAGCCACACCTGCAATCCCAGAGACTCAGGAGGCTGAGGGAGCCTGGGGTTGGGCAACAGACTGCCTCAGAGTAAAAACGTATGAATAAAAAGGCTGAGGGCTGGGGACAGAGCTCAGCTGGTAGAGTGCTCGGCTTGCACGCACAGGCCCCGGGTTCAATCCCAGCACCACACACACAGAGGACCACCTCAAGTGGAAGGATTCCAGCACCACTCGCCTGCTCAAGTCAACACATTTACAACAACTGGATGAGGAACAGCGCAGCAGACACTGGCCTGTCCCAGCTGTGCAGAGGTGGGGGCAGGAGGATTTGAGCCTGGGCTGCACAGCCAGACCCTGTCTCTTAAGGAAAACAAAACAAAACAAACAAAAAAATGCAAAAGCAAAAAACAAAAACCAAAAAAACCCCAAAACAAACAAACAAAAAAACTCACAATAAACAAGTGAAAAAAAACCTGAAGCAATAAGATGTTCTCATTTTGACCTTTTTTTTAATTATTATTATTAGTCGTTCAAAACATTACAAAGCTCTTGACTTGATCTATTTTTTTGAAAGATGAAAACCTCTCCAAATTCTGAGCTGTGTTAACAAGGCAGGCCTTTTGCCACTGTCACATGACTCATTTTTACTTTCTAATCAATAATATGGTACTTATTTTTCCTCATTTTCTCTGAAAATCTGAACTTCTTAAATGAAGCTAGTTGTGGCGCTCCTCAGGTTTTAAAGAAAGGGAGAAAGTGCTGGACTCCTTCCACCGAGAGGCAGCACCTCAGTCTTCCTCAGGACCTGGCCCAGAGGAGGCACGTTTGACGCGGGGGGTGTTCATGACCACGGTGTCAGGTTTTATGGTAAAGTTCAGACCTGAATAAAATTTGAAGCCATGATGCGTAGGCGGGTGGAGGAATCTCCGGTCCTGGCAAGCAAGGCAGGAATGGTCCTCTCCACGCAGTGGGTGGTCTCAAGCTTGCTCAGCTGATGTTTGGGAATATACTGTGTAATCATCATTTTCAGTAATTTCAAAGAAGCCTGAAAGACCTAGGAAATGGGATAAAAACAGGTGAGCTCTTCTAACTGGATTTTCCAAGAGAAAACACACACTTCACTTAGTACTAGATTTACATCAGTCATGCCGAGACCCACGTGCTGTCTGAAGTGCTGGAAACTGAAACCGACAACTGCTCTCTGAAGACCCCACTCTGCTCCCGTCTCACTGTGCCAGGGAGCACTCGCCAACATCCTGGCCCAGAGGGCCAGCTCCTCTACAGCTACAGCCACAGTGACCCTGTGGCACTTGTTCTTAAGGCCACGTGGAGTTGGAAAAACACAATTCCAGGCTCCTCGGTCTCATGTTTGCTGGCAGTGGCAATCAGGCCTCTGCACACACTGCTGGGGACTGTGGCAGAGCTGGCACTGCACCAGGCAGAAGGGTAAGGAAGCAGAGGCAGTGGTCTCAGACCTCACCTGCCCTGCATCTTGCCAGATAGCCTTCACTCCAGTCACCTACGACAAAGGACAGGCTGCCCCTCAGCTGCTCTGCTCTACTGTGGAGTGGCATGTCACCTGTGGCCAGCAGGCTGAGGGGACTCACCGAGGTCACAATGTCCTTCATGGCTCTTCTGACAAGAAAGACAGATGCTCTCAGCATGCTCTTCACGTCTTCCTTCGGGGTTCCCACAGGCACCTCCATCAGCCTCCTGCACAGACCAAGCAGCGCATCCTCTCGGCAGGACCAGGTCTTGGAATAGGCCCCGGCAACCTGCCAGGCACAGAGCCTGCTTGGTCCTGCTTCAGGGGGCAGGTTCCGTCCACCCACCTGCCCTCCAGGACTCCACAACGCAGCAGCACGTGTCTGCTTTTACGACTCTGGACCTTTTCTAGGAGCGGGTCCCTGGCAGAGTGTGTGTGTTTAGGGAAGAGCTCCTTGGACGGGAGGCTGTGCTAACACACCAACTCCACTGAGAGGGCCCTCTGGAGCGGGCCAGGGACAGGCAAGGAGAGGCTCTAGGCTCTTCCCTGCCATCACTGTCACTGCAGTTAGCTGCTGCTCCTAGGAGGGATGCACCCTGCAAGCTCTGAGAACACCAGGAGGAAACACACCTTCGGTGAACATACTTTCATAACATCCGAACCCAGCCGTGCTCCGCAGCCCTTGAGAGTGAGTGAAGGGCAGGCTTCCTGGTGGCAGCGGCAGCACCATCAATGACCCCCCTCCCCCGTGAGTGTGCCTATGCATGCACATGGGTGTGGCGGTTTCTCCTTTTTACCAGGGTTTCTCCTAACACGTCCACCGCGGAGCTGGCTTCCCTCAGGGCCTTCTCGCTCAGGGGCTCGGGCTCCCCGGCCACACCTCCTCTTCGCAGGGTGCCCAGGTCGGCCTCACCTACATCTGGTTCTGTCAACACTTCTGCTTGCTGTTTGCGGGGGGCGGGGAGGGGCCGCTCGTCGTAGGGCAAGGTGTCCACCTGCAGGAGAGAGGACAGGCACCCAAGTGACACTCCCCATGGCCTCCTGCTCTCCTGGGAGAGCGAGTGTCAGAAAGGTATTCTTTTGCTCACGATCAGCATCATCAGATGGGAGCAGCAGTAAACAGGAAGTAACTGGCACAGTTCGAAGAGGTCTTCTAGTCCTTTCTAAATTTACCATAAAATAGCAATGCAGACTTGGCCTCAGTTACTACTGACCAGTAGCAATTTCAGTTCAACAGAGATTATGAAAGCCAAGAAAGGTGCTGCATTTTTTTTCCTGACAATACCACTGGTCTTTTTTTAGTTTACTGCTGAAAAGTCAGCTCCAGCCTGCCTATCAACCAGCTCACCATCCAGCGGCCTTGGATTGACCAGACAGCCAAGGTCAGAGACTCTACACAGGCTTGTTCTGCTTGCCTAGGACCCCAGCTAGGCAGCTGCCTATCTCACTTACCCATTGCTCCAGCAAATATTCATGGGGCACCTAATTTGTACCAGGCACTCATCTTGGAACACATAGTAACGAACAAGATGGACCTTCTGCCCTGCTTGCAGTCCCGTAAGGAGACAGGCCCATGACCAAATGAGAAAGAACGTAGCAGAGTCTTGGGTAATGAAGGGAGACGAGTAGAGGGAGAAAGAGGTGTGAGTGCTGACACTGCAGTGGGTGGGGCTGCCGGTCCAATCCTGGCGCTCACCAAGATGGTGAGTGAGCATGCGCCAGTGGGCGAGTTTCTCACGCCCTCAAATCTAGTCATGAAACACTGAGGCAACAGAACCGGGAAGAGCACTGTGATATTAAACGGAAGTAGTCAGCAGAACATAAGGTCAAGCCACAGGGACGTGGCGCGTGGCCTCTGCAGCAGGCACTCTCTGGGACAGAGGCGGTGTCTTCCCTTCTGTCCACTCACAGTGCCGGAAGCCTCAGGGAGGCCCTGACGGCCCATTCCACACACCTCTGCTCTGGTCCTGGCTGCTGCTTCAAGGCTGGTGTGAGACTGTGGCTGATCTAACCAGGTAGACACAAGGATGCTGCTAGAATAGGACACTCCCTCCCCTCAGATGGCACAGAGCACCTGGTGACTGCAGTCCTGGGGTGATGTGGGAATCAGACTCGACATAGTTCAGCAATGAATCAAACTGACCGAGGACACAGGATCTCCTAAGCCGCTAGCTATGCCCAGTAAGAATCAGGTGTCCTGTCACTCACAGCACAGGAAGTTCTAACAGGCATGGTGGCCAGGCACGAGCTTTACCACATGCTAGGTGGCTTGCTGGTGTGCTAGGCATTTTCTGGAATTTTTTTTTACTCTTTGGTCGATGCTTCAAGAAAGTGTTTTTGTCTTTATACAGAAAGCAGAGGCTCAGAGGTGGAAGGATGTGTGAGAACACAGGTCAGGGACAGGACAGGAGGGGGCTGCAGGCTGACTACAGACCGTGCCTCCCAAGGGTGTGGCTCCTTGGCTCCTGCTACTGTGGCGCTCTGGCCTTAGCCCTTGTGTCCCTGGCACAACTTTGGGAGGAGCTTGGCCATGTGCAGCGTGCTTGCCTCTCCTGTACTGGACCACACCTGACACAGCGTGGTGGTTAGTAAAACACCTGTAGCGTAAACAGTACCAAAGTAAACAGAGCTACCCACGTTGCTCCTTGGAGGCGGGCCCGCGGCAGGCAGCAGCTGGTCTACTGCAGTGTGCCGTGGAGGAGGAGCCAGGGGGCTCGAGGAAGGCTTTTCCTGCAGAAGCGGGTGGGCAAGCTGGCTTTCGGGGGCCACCTCTTCTGGCTGTGGCAGTGAGGGGGCTGGCTTTCGGTGGTGAGGACTGCTGAAATGATCCAGGGGCTGGAGGGGCAAGTCCAGGGGCCTCCTCATCTGGAGGAAAGGAAGGGAGATTGCATCTCAAATGCCATGGAGCTACCATCTTGCCCCAGGTGAGTGACTGGAGGAAGGCTGTGCTGAGAGAGGGTCTTCAGCATGGCACATCTCAAAGGAAAGCTTCCTGCTCAGGCCCAAGTCGTGCAGCTTCCCTGCCGTGCTCTCCTCAGTTAGGGTGCTGGACACAGAGCCACCGTGCACACCTAAGTCCCGCTGGGAGCAGGTTTGTTCACTTGTGGAGAGGCCAACCATGGCAGGAGGCACTGGTTGAGCCTGAGCAGGCCTGTGCTCAGAACCAGGCACTACTATTCCCTGAGGGTCAGGGGACCCTGCACAACCATAAAGGGCATAACCAACCTGCAGTCACCTCACCTGGGCATGGTGCCCAGGGCCACAGACTGGGGGTCTCATTCTGCTCTCCACTTTGCCCTGCTGAGACGTGAAAGCAATGCTGGCCAGCATCAGTCTGAGGTCAGCGGCCAGAAGGGAGGGCCCAGGTGAGACCCAGGCAGCCTGTGCTCTGCACTGTCCTGTGGCTCTCAGGGCCTGTTTCCTCACCTGCTGTACGGGTGCCTACCTGCCTGTCTGAGCTGTGCCAGAGGCAGGGCACCACCCACTGGGGCCACAGGTGCACTCTGAACCTTCTCCTTCTCTAGGGCGGGGCAGGTGGGAAAGCCACCACGCCTTGTACGTGAGCAGAGGGGGCTGGGCGAGGGGCTTTCTGGAGAGGGCAGTGCCCATCCCTCCACCCCCAGCTGGCTCCCGCCTCCTCTGGGTGACTCCTTGAGGGTCCCGTCACTACCCAGAGCCTATTGCCCTGCCCAGTCAGTACCCCGCCCTCTGACCTCCAGCTCGCCGTGCAGGAGGCCATGCAACTCCAGCTGCTCATACACCTGTGCACGGTAGCAGGCCATCTGCTGCTTCTTCTCCTTGGCTAGGTCATAGTCCTCCTTCTCCACCGCACAGCGCTTCTCCACCTCGTATCGCCCCAGACGCTCGCCCACCTGCAGCACAGGGTGTCTGCTGCTTCAAACCACGTCTGCAAAGACCACAGCTGGAGGGGAGCTCACGAGGCAGAGACTGAGTGTGAGGTGTTCGGGGAGGGGTCAGCACAGAAATGGGAAAGGCCACACTCTCTGCAACAGCAGCGCTGCGTACTGCTGTCCTGGTGCCTGATAAAGTCAGAAATCCACCCGAGCTTCTGAGCATATCCTCTACCACTTCTGGCAGTAGCAAGGGTCCTGCTCAGCACAGTGGCGGCCATGTGTATCTTCAAAGTGCTCATCCCTCCTTACCTCTCCCTGGAGGAGACCTCAGACCCCATGCCAACCCGCAGCTTGCAGGAACCCGCTGCTCTGTTATAACTAAGAGGCCATCCACAGGCAGAGGAGTGGGCTCACAGAGGCAGTACCTTCTGCAGGTCAGCGATAGCCTGCTTCAGTTTCTTGGCGTGATCATAACGCTCCCTTTGGACAGCTTCCCGCTTCCTTTCATCCAACTTGCGAATGATCTGTGCGACCTCGGGGTCTTGGTACATGTCAAAAGCCAAGTCGTCCAGTGGAGAGATATAGTCAGACCTCCTAGGGGAGAAATGCATGTGTCAGGGCTTGTTCCTCTCCAGGGGATGCTGCTGTGGCCGGCGAGCCTTGGTGCTCCATGATGAGCAGTCTTGGAGAAAGCGCCAGACACCCCTGCAGCTGGGACTTCCTATGTCAGGGAGCCAGGGCTCCGGGAAGTCATCAGGGGCCTCTCTGACACCCAGCCCTCCTCTACCTGATCCTCTCAGGCTGCAGCCCTCGGAGATGGGAGGGCTCTGGGGAAGGGGGCCGCTGCCTGGGCACAGAGCTGGCCGGTGGCAAACAGCTCCGAGCACCTGAACAGACAGCCTACTCCATATTTTGTGCAATGGTTCAAATGTTAACAACATCCTGTTAGCAGACTCTACTGACACTTAGGTGAAGTGAAATCACACCCCAAAATTATGGACAGATTTGAAACTTCTATTAAAATTTAAAATGTTTCAACTCTTTTTTACTGGGAAGCTGCTGTCAGAGAAGAGGAACCAGTGCTGTTTTGAATTCCTTTTCTCTTTAGACTGGGGCACCTTTGGGACAGGGCCCTATGCTCTCATAAACATTGTGTAAACACTGTGTGCCCAAAGATGCAGCTGGGAAAGAGGAGGTGACGGACACAGCAGGTGGGCAGCTGCGGGGGGCTCTTCAGCTCCCCGCCTCTTGACCCACCAGGGTCTTCCCACTGTGAGGGGAAGAAAGAGGGACAGCAAAAGGGAAGCAACAGCTGTCACTGTGAAGAGAGACCCAACAGGGGGGGGCGCCGTAAAGCCGCTCTGCTAAGCTGCCCTGGTGTGAATTTAATTTTAAAGAAGCCACAAAATGAAGTCTTGAGTGATTGATAATTTAGGCCAAATAGTGTCTTTGAATTTGCCTGTGCCAGTGAAATGTCAAAGGACGGAGGACAGAGCTCAACAACAATGCACTGTAGGGGCCTCAGCCTGTCTTGGACGCCCAGCAGCCCAGAGTACTAAAGAACCCGATGGCCTTGCTCTTGCTGTGCATGGAGACAACCCAGTCAGGGGCTCATCCAGCTCCAGACTGCATTTAGACACCTCTGAATGCAGAATCCATTAGCAAGGAGACACTAGTGATTCTGAGGAAGGTCATGCTAGCTAGCATCCTGCCAGGGCCAAGAGGTGAGGAAGGCACTTACCCAGCGTAAGTCCCCTCTAGGGCTGGATCCTCCGGGTTGTGCCCAAGATAATGATCAATCAACTTCTCTCTAGAGGTCTTCAGGAGCAAAATGTCTGCTTAGGATTTCGGCACACAGGCACAACATGAAATCCTAACTTCATGATAATCTGATAGGAAGGTCAGCAAGATGTGGCGATCCTATTCTTTTGGAGAGATAGCTACAATTCTTAAGTAAAAGGTTATTAAGACTATGGCTGCTGAAATTATCTGACAACGATTCGCTATGTTTATAAATACTTTGAAAATGATACTTTCTGCAATGAAAGTAAATGATCCCATTAGAAATACATATTCTTTCTTAGGAATTAAATGGCTCAAACTTACAATATTGCTTTCATCACCAAAGTCTGCAGGGTCTCCAATGATATTTACTGCAACCAAAGCAACCTAAGGATAAGTTAAGTAAACAGAAATAAGCATAAAATGTTTAACAGGCCTTCAGCCCTTTACAACAAATTCTGACTTACACTGTTATCAAATGGGGAGATGACACATACCAAAGTGAGTAAACCATGAAGTGTTGCGCTAACGTACAGGACATCGTGTTTTTGTTGTTGTTCATACAAAGGATTGAACCCAGGGGTGCTTAACCACTGAGCCACTTCTTTAGCCTCTTTTATTTTTTATTTTGAGACAGTTCTGTTAAATTGTTTAGGGCCTTGCTAAATTGCTGAGGCTCACTTTGAATTAGCAATCCATCCTCTTGCCTCAGCATGATTGTTTCTGGGGTTACAGGCCCAGCTCAACATCATCGATTTTCAAGTGAATTATATAAATTAGTATTCAAATGCTTACCCAAGGGCCTATTTCATCTGTTTAAAGCATGTTAAAACAATAGTAGCTGAACACTCCTGAAGTCACCACAGCCTATAACAAACTCAAGGTCGAGGTCAGGGGTCATAACCATACGATAAATTTAAGACCAGGAAAGGAAAACAGAGATTAATGTGGCTGAGGTTGTCGGGTCACTGATCCTCCACCGCAGGGGAGGAGCCACTTTCCCATCGCCATCCTCATCACTGAGAACCACTTTGGCCTCAGTGCCTAATCAGGGTGTTACCTGTGAACACAGCAGGTGACATGGAGCAAGCAAAGAAAGGCAGCATGGCTCTCGCAGTGTCCTGCCAAGTCATGCTGCCACGTAGCCTAGTTAGCACTTCCAACTTGCTCACTTGGTATAAGGTGTGATTTTTAATTTTTTTCAAGTGGATGGACAATGCCTTTATTTATTTTTATGTGGTGCTGAGGCTCGAACTCAGGTCCTCACACATGCTAATCGAATGCTGTACCACTGAGCTATAGACCCAGCCCAAGAACGTTTGTATTCTTGGAGGGGCAGGGAATGTTGTAATTATTTGTCAATAAGACTGCTTTGGACACAATTGATTTCTAATTCATTTATCAAAAGAAAGAGTGGGTGGGAGAGGATTAAGAGTCAGCTGCTGGAGCCAAGAGCCCCCAGGCAGGCCCTCAGTGTCTACCAGGGATTTGTCTCCTGTCAGCTGCGAGGGTTCATCTAGAACAGTGCTGTCCACAGGGGTGCAGTGCTGGCTGCACAGCCATTGTTTTCTAGCAGACACACTGAAGGAATGGAAAAGAAAGAGGTGGGAGTGACTTTTGCCAAAATATTAACCCACTACATGCAACTGACATAAAAGCTTCCATGGACACTCTTACATTCCTTTCCAGCCTGAATCTAGAGCGCTACGGTCATACATTAAAGGTCTTCCTTAGAAGAAAGGCTTGAACGTGCAAGGGAGGGCAGGCGCAGAGCTGCAGGTGCAGAGGCCCTGTGCTCACCTGGTTATAGGTGTTGTACTTGTTGACATGGTTCTGGTGGAATATCAGCTTGAGAAACTGCCCAACAGCGTCCACATACACTGACTTGAGCTCACGGGCTTTGCAGCCGGTCTTCTGGTTATCACAGAGGGAGACGTAGCTGAAAGGCAACACAGTGGAGAATGCGTGCACTCAACAACAACCCACCCCTAGCTCCTGCTGGACTCAGCAAGCTTAAATAAAAGCTGAGCTTGGGGTGGCAGCTTGGGAAAAAGCCCCAGATTCCAGTTAGTGTTTCTGAAAAGCTCTCTACCTGTAAAGCACAACTGGCTGTGGGCATCAGGAGACATGATCACCCGGCGGTTCAGCCCACCCAATCCCTGGCAGGTGTTGGCAATGCCACACTGGACCCAATGTAAGGGGTAATTCACTGATTCTTAAGAGCTCTGAGGTAGACTTGGTCAGGCTAAAAGTCACCATTAAAATTTTGCATTTCATTCTTACCCAAGTCTGCGAAATCGTTCTGCTTGGTAGGGTACAAAATACTCAGGCAAGCTTTCGCTAATGTAGAACTCGATTTTGCTTGAGATCATGTACTGGTGTGCAAGCAGCTGCAGCTTTCTTATTCGACACCTCTCTACCATCTGAAGAACAATTTCTTGTGGGAACTGGCAGAATCTGAAAGCAAAGACATCTTTGTTTTTCTGAGCCATGACTGCAGAGTCCCCAGATGCTGTGTTGCCAGCCTCAGCAGGTGAACCCATGGTGCTGTGGGGGCCAAGCCACAGGGCGCAAGAGGAGAGGCTGTGACACTCTGCCCTTCTTGGAGCTTTTTGGGGCAGAGCCAAAGGATGGCCCTGGGGTGGTCCATCTGCCAGTTACCCAGCACAAACCCGACTCCTGGCGGCTGTAACCACAGCTCAAGTGGACCTGAGGTTCACTACGGGACAGATGAACCCATCTCAAGGGGCTGCAGTAGTGGGCAAGGTAGAGCCACAGGAGCCAAGTACTTGATAAACCCCCTGGTGATGGCCTGTGCAGGCATGGAACCTTCAGAAGGGACTTGGTAGAGGAAGCTGGGTCTCTGGGTGTGTGTCCTTGGAGGGGACACTGGAGTCCAGCTTCTATTTCCCTGGCCTCCGGGAGTTGGACAGGCTCCTCCAGCCTGGGCTTTTCCCTGCCTCATCACAGGCTCCAAGTAGTAGGCTGAGTGACCACAGACCAAAACCTCTGTGATCTAAAATAAACCTTTTTTCAACTTGTTCACGGGATCTGAGGACCTGCCACAAGTGCACCATGCTCTAGGAGAAGCCAGGCTGGGGTGCTTCTAATTTTGCTCAGATGTACACAAGACACTAGGCAGCGAGAAGGGATTAGAGAACCGTGTCAGCCAGCACCGACTCTCAGGTACTGCACAGCCAGGATGGCGGCAGAAGGACCTCCATTAGCTAACGAGCATGTGGTAACAGGACCGTGGAGGTCCCCAGGCCCATGAGTTGAGGGATGGGGTGGTAGGGAGTGTGTCCAGTGCCCTGCGGGTGTGCTTCTGGATGTGTGGAGTCCCGCACCTCACCCAGGAAACACACACGGCAGGCTCTGCTGCCCAGCGCAGCAGCTTCCTGCCAGGTGCCCTTAGGCCCACAGGCCTATAGCAGTAGAGCCTGTTCTCCTGACCAGCACTCACATCACACACACAATCCAGAAAGTCCCAACTCAAGAGCACATCCAATGACTCAGAGTCCCTCTCCAGGGGTTTCCCATTCTTTCAAATGTCATGCTGCCTGAAGCCACCACCACTTTCTCAAACCCTCCCCCCTGTGCCACTGCCCACAGGTCACCCTATGAAGGCCACCATGGACTTCTTAAAACCCAGTGCCACGTCTCCTCCTCGGCTGTGACCTTGCTCTGCTACACAGTTGCCCACATTGCTCAAACCCTCTACTTGGCTCCAGTGTCCTTGATGCTACCCCTTTCTAGTCCTCCTACCCCCTTAGCTCCCTCCCCTGGTCCTCAGCCATGGGTTTGAAAGGTCCTGTTCACGAGGGAGCCTTGCCTGGACACCACCCTGAGTGACCCACACCCAGTGGGAGAGCCACAGCTCCACACAGACATCTACAGGCCTGGAGTGTGATGTGGAAAACAAACGCTGACCCCACCTCCCCACCAACCCCAGGGTCCAGGCCACCAGAGATGCAGGCCTTATCCACAAGCTTCTACCAGTGTTTCCTCTGTGACACTGCTGGAGAGTCCAGGCCAGAAAGGAGCTGCGGTATGTTTCCTGCTCCCTGGAGACCGCAGTGGGGCATCCCTCCATCTGCCACTAGCTGCCCCTGAACACACTTTCTGTAGTTGTGGTGACAGAGTGTCTGGTCCTGTCTTCAGGACTCCTGGCTGGAAGATATTTTCTTTTGCCTTCTTGCCATGTGCTTGACTTTGGGGCAGTCTGTGTGGTGACCAGGAGTACACACATTATTTGGAACATGTCTCCTTTCTTCTGAAAGCACATTACTAACATGCCCCAAAAGAAATACCAAGCCACCAGGTATGGTGAGGCACAACTGTAATTCCAGAGGCTCGGGAGGCTGAGACAGGAGGATTGCAAGTTCAAGGCCAGCCAGGTAACTTGGCAAGACCCTCAGCAACTTAGCAAGACCCTGTCTCAAAAATAAAAAAGGACTGGGGATATAGCTCAGTGGTAGAGCACCCCTGGGTTCAATCCCCAATAACAACAACAAAAACAATAGCACAATAAAAAACACTGCTATGTCAGTATACAAAGGCATCATAGGCATCATATTAGTGTTATTGTTATAAATATTACCAACAGGGTGCCTATTTATTTGAAAACCTTAAAGAACATAAAATCACTGAACAGGGCTGGGGCTGTGGTTCAGAGGTAGAACACTCTCCTGGCAAGCGCAAGGCACTGGGTTCGATCCTCAGAACCACATAAAAATAAAATAAAGATATTGTATCCACCTACAACTAAAATAAATAGAGAGATAGATAGAGAGATAAACACACACTAAACAAAAGCAGTCAGCAACAGGACCTCTGTGGAAGGGTAAGGGAGGTTCCCTCGCACTCTCCATCAGGGAACCCTGGGAAGTGGAGGTGAGGCTGCTGGCGGGGTGCTTCTCCTGCCCTCCTGCCTTGGGCTTCACAATATATTTCTGCCCTCAGTGCCATCAGCAATTGCGTGCTGTTGCATCCCTACCTGCTTTGCTCTATTTAATTTCAACTCCCTCAGGACTTGGGCAGGGAAAGTGAGCCTGTTTTTTGGGTGCCCTAAGAAATCAAAGAGGAAAATAAAATTTAATTTAAAATGTGATTTACATTCAGTTTTCAGCAGGACACAACAATATGATTGAATTGCAAATGCCCTACATATTTACAGGTTTTTCCGTTAGATTCCTGTGGATTGAAACAGAGACAAGGACCCTGGAGGTACTGAGCATTAAGCAGGTCCATGGAGCCTGCTCAGCACAGCTAGGTGGTGTGCTGGTGAAAAACACAGGCCTCCTGAACCAAGCAGATGCTTCAGAACAACGTAAGACACATACTCAAATAATAAACATTCTTATAAACATGTACAAATGTTCAAGAGAAATTTGAAAGAGACCCTGGCTGAAACCTGTTGTCACATAAAAGTAATTAGAGGCAAAAATCTTTCCCTGTAGGTGCCTAACCACAAGACCAAAAAAGTGTGCAAACACAGCCTTTGCTCAGAAAAGGGATGAGAATGCATCACCCGGCATGTGGCAGGAGAGGGTCAGGTGGTGACGCAGCTCTGCTTTCTCTTCTGTAGTTGCTCACTTCCGGAGTGTGGGCTAATGATAGAAGGGAAAGGGCCAGCATATCTTTTTTTTTTTTTTTTCCCTTTGGTGCTGGGGACTAAAATTAGGGGTGCTCTACCACTGAATTATGAGCATGCAGCCCTATTTTAAAATTTAATTTTAAGACAAGGTCTCTCCAAGTTACCAAGGCTGGCCTTGAAAGTGCACTCCTCCCGTTTCCCAGGTTGCTGGGATTACAGGTGTGTGGGATCACACTCAGCCAGGCCAGCAAATAAACGTAAACAAAATGGAAAGGAATCCCATCACAGAACTAGTCACGTCACACTGCTGCACACTGTGACCACCCTGTGGTTCGTGATGTCCAAGTTACTGAAAGGGATCCATCTGCAGATCAGGAACTGGTGCATCCCCCAGCCCAGCCTCACCCAGCCTCACCTTGGAGACCTCCACCCACTGACAGTTGGTGCGTGGATCATCAGTTCTCGGGCACTGAAGCCATCCTCGTGTCCAGAAGAGCTGACCACAACGAATCCGATCTTGTGGGGCATTCTGCAGGCTTAGGCTGTTTAGAAGAGGGAAATTCTTTAAGGAATCCACTAACACAACACCTGAGGTATCAGTTCACACTTGGCTGATGTACGCAGGAATTAACAAAACATTTATATTTCTCCATTATGTTGGAAGAGTCCAGTTTTTCTGTGTAACACTTTTCTTTGGGGGTGGTGCTGGGAATTGAACCCAGAGCCTTAACATGCCAGGCAAGAGTTCTACCATCCCAGCCTTCTCAAACGCTTTTTATAAATACTTCTGATTTTACTTAAAGTACCACTTAAGATTTCCCCCCAAATTTGAATTTATTTATTCAAGTTTGACCTGTATTGTGAACTGAATTGTGTCCTCCAAAGACATGTTCAAGTCCTACCTTTGCTACCTATAAATTTGACTGAATTTCAAAACAGGGTCTTTGTAGATGTAACCTAGTTAAAATGAAGTCCCAAGGGTACGCCCAATCCAATGTAACTGGTCTTTTTAAGAAGGGAGAAGGGGCTGACAGTGTAAAACAATGTAGAGCTCTTGCCCAGCACATGCAGGGCCATGGGTTTGACTACAGCACTACAAGACAGCAAACCAGCAACACACACACACACACAGTGAGGATATCAGGCAATACCACAGGGGCAGGCGCGTGGCAGGGTCTACAGCACTGAGTGCCAGGGACTGCTGGAAACCATCAGAAGCTAGAAAAACACAAAGGATCCTCCAGAGCCTTCAGAGGATGTGGCCCTGAGGGCACCCCAATTTAGACTAAAGCTCCAGAATAAATTTCTATTGTTTAAGCCATTCAGTTTGTGAAACTTTCTCACAGTAAAAACAAGTTATTTGCTAGGGTACAGACACATTTTTTTGGGGGGGAGGGGGAGGGTTAGGAAACCAATAGAACCATGTTAACTAGTTCTCAGTAACAAGAGGGAAAGGCAACCTATTCACTAGCATAGTAACTGCTGTGTAAAAACGTACAACCAGGAGGAAAGCAGGAGTCCCAGATGCAAGGAGTACAAGACGCATAGCCAGCTGGCTCATAGGGCATCTAAAACACCAGCCAAATGACTGCTATCATGGCTTTCAGTGAACCTGACCTTGACCTGATTCAATACCACCTGGAAGGTGCCTACTGAGCTGTGTTGGCCGTGTGGAACCGTGTCACTGATCTTAATACACTCTGTGACAACACCTAGACTCACACATTGGACCTTTAAGTCCAAATACAAGAGTACCTCCACTATACCATGTTACCCCAATAAATCCAAACAAAGTTCTGGCCCTGGAGAAACAGGCAGGAGGAAAGCATCAGCACTTGAAGGGATGCTGCACCTCAGTGTGGGCATCTGAGAAGCCTGAAGACCTCTGCATAAACATTCAAGTGTCACATGAGACGCTGCTAGGCTCTGTAAGGGCCACCACGGACTTTGGCAGAACCCTGCTTTGTGGTACTCGCTCATCTTCACCAGACACTGCAGCCCCAGAGACAGGAATGAGCAGCCCAGCAAGTGCCAGGTGACACTTCTCCCCAGGCCCAGTGACGCTCCTGCTCCCTATACTTAACCTCCAGCGGCAAGATAAGCTACAAATTAGATGAAACTCAATTTAGCGACTTCCGAAGGTTGTGCTAGGAAACAATTTCTTTTCGTTTCTTCTAAAACATTTCACAATAAAATAATAACTTTGAGTCAAATAGTTGTAAGATGAAGGGGCTTCGGAGAAATCTGACACTTAGTAAGTAACCCTCTCCCGCCCCTCGCCAAGGCCCAAGTTCAACCTATGCAGGGCCGGAACCACGTTCTTCCATCCTCGCAACCGGCCCGGCCCGGTCCGCTC